AACGTGCGGTCGCAACGTTCGCAGCGTGTGGTCGCAGTGCTCTCAGTTGGATCACTTCCGATTGCGTCTGTCCTTGCATGGCGAGTGGGGGATATCGTGGAATTTTTAAAGAATTCAAAAATTTCCATTTTTTACCGATAAATTTCTTGTGTCTCCAGGTACGGCAGTACCATGAACGTTGACCCGAGCAACGGATGTGTTCCTCCTGCGCCACCACCAGCGCCGCCACCACCGGCTTCACAGCAGGCCCTCAACGATGCGTTCAACGTAAAAGAAGAGCCAGAAAAATTGATCCAGCTAACGAATGCAGCAGTAACAGCAGGCAGTACATTGGCCGATATTTCTTCAGTCCTGTCACAGCCGCAGCAGCACCAGCAGCAGTTCAGAAATTTCAATGATAGCAATCTGTTTCTGGTGGAATCCGCTGAAAATGGTACTTTTGCTTGAATTGCTTAAAATGGCTAATAGTTGACCAGGCCGGAAACCATGCCATTTTCTTTCTTTTTCGCTCTTTTTTGGCGCTTCTTTGCCCAGTGCTGCATCGCTTAGTGATCAGTTTTCTGGCGATCTTAACGTTCGTTTCATCTGTGAAAGAAATTACCGATTCATTGTTCTTTCGAGAGAAATATTTTGGGCAAGACTTCAGTCTGCATATACCCTGAACTATCATATGCCCTGAGCATGATCTTTTAACTTGTCAGCTGGTTTGTTCCACATCAACAACCCAACTTTCTTGCCCGCCACCATTCTCTATCTAATTCTATTCTTCCAACTTTGAACCATATGGAATTCAGCTGTGCTCAATTTTCTTCGGTTTTTACAGTCTTCTGCTTTTGTATGTTATTCTTCGGCCTACCTACGGCCACAAATTACCATCGCACATCTACAACAATCCGAACATTCCTGCTCGTAATGACCAATTTCGGCTGGGTTTTCATGGCCCTTTCTCTTCCTCTGTCAGTCACTCAGCAAATTCATCTTTCCGGATGATTCAGAAATTGAGCGCCTAGTACTCACCATACTATTCTCATAAAAAGAATGATAATTATTGTTTTTATCATTATTATTTGTGGCTATTGTTATTTGCTGTCATTAACGTATTATATCACTATATCATTGCTTATCATTAATGTATTATATCACTGCTTATCATTAACGTGTTATATCATCACTATTGCTATCATTATTACCATCATTATTTTAACCGTGCACTCTCGGTTATTATAAATTATTATTGTTGTTATTATTTTTACTATTATGCCATTGCTGTTACTGTTAATGTCATTATTGTAGGCACTGTTCTTATGATTTTTGTTATTACTATTATTATTATTATCATTATTATTATTTCTATTATTACTTTTATTTTATTATTGCCAAACAAACTTTAACCCTGTCGAATAACAGGGTCAGCAGCAATGCGGCATATGGTGGTAATGGAGCATCCCTGTTGGGACTACGTGCAACGTATCGATGAACATAATTGCATGATATGTCGTACATGTTCGGAAACCCTGAAACCCGTTGATACCCAAAAAGCAATGGAGCATTTCATCAGCCATCATCCACAGGTCGGTTTTTTGCAGGTTTTTGTGATAGATATTTGATTCATTTTTAGGCTTTTGCATAGGCAGAAAACATTCTTCTGAAATTTTCAGCCTCCTAGCTCTTCTGGTCCTTGAGATATTAATTTTTTACCGCTAAAAATTTCATGGGGTCGTACATGAGATTTGCGCTTAAATGAAAACTCAACTTAAATTTACGCAG